GATCGCGGCGGCGCCGGGCGGGCCCGCGCCGCAGGGCGCGGACGGGCCGGCGCTCATGTCGAAGGGCGGCGACGGAGCGGGGCCCCCAGCGGCCGCTGCTGGGCCCAGAGGGGACGGAAAGTTTGTGACACTCGGCCGCCCGCTGCTGCCGCCGCTGCAGGCGCCGCCGCCTGGAAAGCCCTCCCGGTCGGTCCCGGGGTCGGCCAGGTGCGCCCAGTGCGGCGGCGACGCAGCTGCCGGGCAACTGCCCGGCGGCGCGGCCCCGCCTGCAGGCAGGGGGCCGACGAGGTCCCCGCCCTCCCCGCGCTCCTGCAGCATGCCCTCGCTGCTGGCTCTGCGCGACCGCAGGCTGGAGCTCGACTGCGGCCGCGAGGGCCCGCCCTCCGCGTCCCCGCCGCCCGACCGCGCCGTCGCGCTGCCGCCGGCGCTCGCCGCGCGTGTCGTGGGCGCGGCGCCGCTCGTGCCCCCCCCGGCGCTGGTGCCAGCGCCGCTGTCGCCGGCGGGCTGCAGGGTGCGGGCCTGGCGGACGAACCCGAAGTACGATAGCCCGAAGTCGGTCAGCTTCACGTGGCCGTTCGCGTTGATGAGCATGTTGTCGGGTTTCAGGTCGCGGTGGATGATCCCAAGGGAATGGCAGTACTCGAGGGCGAGGACGGTCTCGGCCAGGTAGGTGCGCGCGATGTCCTCGTCCAGGCACCCCTGCATCTGCAGCAGGCTGCTCGGCGCGCAGCAAGCCGCCATCGGGGGTGGGGAGGGGACAACGAGGCCAGGGAGGAGAGGGCAAGTGGGGCAGGCTTTCGCAGGCTTGGGGTTTTGTGGGACGACCAAACAGCACCGCAGGGCCCACCACGGGCGCCAAAGCAGCCGCCGGCGCCCAACGCGCCTGACAACGCGCCAGCTTGGCCCGGCCGATGCCGCTCTCAGCGTTGCCGGCCACGCCCCAGAAGCTGCGCCGCCCGGGCCCCCCGCACCCCCAAGGTGTTCTGGCCGAGCCTGGCGCCCTGGGCCGCCAGACCCCAATACCCTGGACGCCAACCAGATCCAATCAGCAAGCGCCCCGCACCTGGCGCAGTCGCCGCCGTTCAGGTACTCCATGACTAGGTACAGATTGTCCCGCGATTGGAAGCTGCGCGGGCAGGAAGGCGACGCGGCAAGGGGCGCGCGCAGGCGCGCTCAGACGGACACCCTGGGGGGAGGGCCTACAGCGGGGCGCGGGCGCCGCAACAGCGCCGCGCGCCGCGGGCAGCGCGCCAAGGCGGTTGAGGGTGGCTGGAGACACGCCGAGTTCCGGGGAGAGAGGGGCCTGATTTCCCACCTGTAGAAGAACCTGACGACGAAGGGGTTGTTGGCTATGGCCATGATGTTCTTCTCGTTGTTGATGGACTGCACCAGGTTCTTCTTGAAAACGTCCGCCTTGCGGATGACCTTGAGGGCAAAGCGGTCGCCTGCGGGGGGCCAATCACCGCGTGCGCGCGTGTGTGTGTGTGTGTGTGTCTGTGTGTGTTTGTGTGTGTGTGTGTGTGTGTTTGTTTGTTCGTGTGTGTGTGTGTGTGTGTGTGTGTGTGTGTGGGTATGTGAAATGAGCCTTGAAATTCGTGCGTGCGTGCATATGTGTATGTGTAAGTTGTGTTTTCGCAATCACCAGGAAGAGACAGAGCGAGCGAGGGCGACGACGCAGGCGCGTGCGCGCAAGGCAGGCAGGTGGGCAGGCAGGTAGGGAGGGAGCGAAATAAGGAGGCGGACGGTTGTGGCTGTGCAGCTGTGCGGCACCACACCACCACCTCGAATTGCTGCCCGCCACCTAAAAGCTGGCGCGCCCGCGCGTCTGCACCCCTCCGAGGCCCGGGACCAGCGGCCACGAGCCCGCGCCTGCACAACCCACGCGCCCGAGGAACCCGCGCCCGCGCCGCCGCCCCGCCCGGCCCAGGCGCCCGCCGCGCACCCGTGCTCTTCTTCTCCGCCAGGTAGACCCGGCCGAACGCGCCGCGGCTGATGGGCTTCAGGATGTTGAAGTCGTCGATGGACATGGCCGGCGCGTTGCGCGGCGTCGCGCCGCCGCTCGCGCCTGACGAGTGCGTCGCGCCGCGGGGGACTGCGGTGCGGATGGAGGCGAGCGCGGCGCTGTCGGGTGAGCGCAAGCTGCAGTGCGGGCTGATGGAGCGTACCAAGCTTGGCAGCGCGGCCAGGCCCCCTGCGGCCCGGCCGGCTCGGCCACTGCGCCGGCCAGGCGAGCGGCGGCCGGCGCGCGGCTCTAGGGAACGGTGCGCGGGACGCCAATGCGCAGCAAGGCCGGGGGTCAGGCGGCCGCGGCGGGGGCGGCGGCGGCGGCAGGCGTGCCTCACCGGGCAGCGGCTCCGAGAGCCAGCCGAGCTTGTCGCTGAGGAGCGTGCCCATGCGCAGGCCCAGGGTGAGCGTCACCTCCGTGTTGGTCGACACCATGGCACTCGGCGTCATCGACCACACCTGGGGGCAGGGAGAAGGGGGCAGGGCCCCACAGCCGCGCGGCGCAGCTCAGAGATCAGTCAGACGGAGCCGCAAGCTCAAAGGCTCCGTCGCGCGTGAGCGCGTTCCTGGCTCCTGGTCGGCGCGGCGCGCGGCTCCCGAGCAGGGCGGCCCCTGGACGCCATGTCTCAACGCCCAAACACCCCACATTCTTGGTCCCATGATGAACATGAAACGCGGCGGCGCAACTCACGTCTGCCAGCAGGGTCTGCATGAAGGCGTGCAGCTCCTCCACCGTCCCCTGGCAACGGGCGGCCGGCACCTGCAGTGTTGCCCCAGGGCGGCGCGCGGCGTGCGTGGGGGGCCGCCTGTCAGCGGAGCGGCAAATGCACTGCTATTGCCCAGTGACGCGCGCCGCACAGCGTGACGGGAATCCGAGGGGCAGCAGCGGTGGTGCGGGGTCCTACCGAGGCGGCGAGTGCTGTCCCTGCGCACCTTTGTGCCGTCCGGCTGCAGCTGCGCCACGCGCCGCCCCGCGCTGATGATGCGCATGAGGTCGCCGTGCAGGTGATCTGGGAACACCGCGTGCTCGATCTGGTCCTCGATCCAGTTGGCCAGCCGCGTGATCTGGGCGTCCGCGCTGGCGTCGCCCTCGCCCAGGTCCTGGTGGCAGATTTTGCAGAGCTGCGGCGGGCGGGGGATGAGGTGATGCGCGGCGCGGCGCAGATCAGCGGGGGGCGGATGGGGTGAGGCGGAGGCGGAGGCGTTTCAAGAAGCGGCGGCGGGGGGATTTTGGAATGGAGGGTGTCGAAGAGGACACACGCCAATCAAGCGAGTGCTGATCAAGAGAATGCAGCGTTTGTTGGGTGTGGGGGGTGGATGGAGGAGGCGGATGAGGTGGGGGCCGGCCGCACGCACCCAGGTGTGCTCCTGCATGAGGACCGCGGGGAAGGAGGCGTCGCAGATGTGGCAGCGCAGGATGATCTTGGCGCCGCAGGGGCCGCCGGCCGGCACCGACCCGGATTCGCTGAAGCTGAGGGCGCGGT